CAGAGTTGATTGGCCTTGGTCTTAGGAGCCATGATGAACACAACAATGTAGTTTCCAGTAACTTAGTAAATACCGCAGTATATAGCAAGACTAAGTAGCTAGCTAAAGGTCAGGTGTGCAGGTGTCTCCGAAAAAGTCTACAGAGTTAGAAGACGTTCACGAAGCCTGGTCGCTGCAGGTTACACTGCCCGTTGTAATCTGGAATATATTCCCCTAAGCGCTGATAGTGAGCGGCGACGAGCGATTGCCCTGCATGATCATCACATTTGCCTTGGCAATCAGAACGAGCCGCAAACCCGAACCAAGAGTTGAATAATCGGTCAAAATGGTGCTTACGAGAAATCGGCCAAATTCTCCGAAGAAGAGTGGCTGAGAACGCTGTATATGATGCAGTATCTGTAAAAACGGTTGTGAAACGATTGGGCAAGATAGACATCGCGCGCGCTACTGTTCAGCTACAACGAACGATCAACATTGAGCTCACTAGCGCTTAAACGGTTTGCCTAATTAGCACCAGCCTATGGCGTTGGCATAGGCCCTCGCAGGTCCAGTCTGGCTCCGCATTTCCGGCAGATTTTCTCACACTCGTGCACGATGACTATCCGTTCCTTCCCCTTCATCATCGTCTGTCTCAATGTTCTCCGGGACATCACATACGTGATGGGCCACACCACCGAGTGCGATGCCGAGTGTGCCGCCACCTATCCCGGGTCGTATTGTAAATACTGGCAGACACCTAGCAGGTGCTTTGGCTCCAACGTCCCTTGTTACTGCGGGTCGGGTGAGACAACTGAAGTTCCCCGTAATTGTGATGCTGGTTGTGCCTCGGATACTCCTGGCTCCTACTGCAAGTACTGGGCTACACCAAGCACCTGCCATTCATCCAATGAGCCATGCACTTGCGAGGCTGCTGCAGTTACCACTACTCCAAGTGAAGCCACCGATGAAGTCACTGAGACCACCACAATCCAGGACGGCACACAGCCGCTCCCGAAGAAACCAATATGCCACTTCTGTTGCTGTTGACACTACCGGAATGGTAACTACAGCCGATGCGGCTG